CACTGTGGGTTGCTTGATATTGTGCATCAATCGAGTACCATACGGATGCGTAGTAGGTGTAGGATCCACCACTGAGGGGACAGTCATACTAGCTGTTGCGAGAGGAGCAACCAGTGCTACAGTAGTCGATCGACCAACGGTCGAGGAACCAATCGAGCGTTGCACACTTCGAGGCAAGTCAAGAGATCGGTCCTTAGGATCATAGCTCAGAGAGTCTAGGTGGGACCTAGACAATGCGGGAATAGCATCTCCTTGCGGAGGATCTGAGGCCCCAATCATTGGTAGAACAATCTATGCCGATTCGCGCTGTAGTGACGCGGAGGATTTTAACGGCAGTCCCAAAGCTAATGTGGGCACCGCATTTTCTACATCCAAAGAGTTAGTAGACATAGATATATGCATATGATCATGCTCCAAATTAGTACTGTTGTGTTGGGTTTTATGTCCTAAAACTCATAGTTTGTAAACAAAAACATATTCTATTTTCAATAAAGTTATTATTGATGTTTATTAAGTAAAGATTGTTATTGAATAAAGTGAATTTTACGATTATTAATCTAAATCCAATAAACTAAGAACACTCTGACTATTGTATGATTACTTGAGCTATATTGTACCTGTGATCACTAAATTGTACATGCGGAGACATGTGAGTGGAGGTGTTCTATGCAATGAGTATTGCACAAGATCGAATCATGAAGAAAATCACTCTCACTTTATAATGTCGTTTACTGTTGAGACTGTTTTTTTTTCATTCGATGACCTAGGTAACTCGATCTTAATCCTAAGCAAACCATGAACTCCTGTTTATTCGGAATTATCCTTAGATTTGCATGGGTGAGAGTGACTCGAGTTATGGGTGAGAGTGACTCAAGTTCGCCAACTCAATAGGCCGCCCATTTCAGGAGTAAGACTGAGTGAATGGTTGGGGACGTGGGGTGCAAGATGAAACTCACTCCTACTCACTTTTAGGGATAGAAGAGAGGTAGTTCCCTTAAAGTACTGACTCCAGGTCTTGAACAAGGGGCCCCACTCTCTCATTGGTCTGAGAGGGATTCGGTTTACTAGTTGGACCACAAACCAATTATTCATTAGAGGATCAAGGGGGCATAAGGAACAAGAAGTAACTTCAGGGGTAAAACGGTAAATTGACCCAACTCTAATTACGAACAACTTGTGAAGGATCGACTTCCTAATCATGATTATATCAAATGGACAGAACTATATCTATAGTAAGGGGGTGCAACTACTAGGTTATAGTGAAGTGTCCTAGTAGTTAACGAATGTTGCTTAACAAGGTTAAGTTTAACCGGTTAATCTCAGATCGTTGGAGCTCATGATCTATAGGTTCATTAGGTCCCCCTGCTAGCTCATATCGGACTAAACCATAGAACAGTATGACCGAGTGAGTTCGAAGTGTTCAAATTCAAATTAGGGAATATGCGCTCAATATATACGAGATATTTAACAGCATTTTTGTTTTATTTACGAATTAAACAAAAAGAGAGAATTAGAGAAATTTAAATAAGATTTAAATATTTTAATCAATATGTATCGGAGTTGACTGAGATGGGCATTTGAATTAATACTAAATATTAATTAAATAGTTTAATTAATTATTTAATATTACTCTAATTTGAAATTAATTATTCAAATTAATTATTGAATTAAAATAGAAAAATTCAAAAGGTTGATTTCACTTCATAGAAAAATTCACGTCAAAATTTTGACTTCATGGAAAGTCAAATTCTTTTTATAAAAAAATTAAGAGTATTAATGTCACCTTTAAAAGTCGATATTATTTATATATGGTATTAAAGATTAGAATATTTTTTAACTTTTTAAAATTTTTTTAAAGTTTAATGATATTTTTAATTTTTTTTTAATTTCAAAAATATTTTTTAAATATTGACGTGTTCCATAAAAAATAAAATATCAAAGACGAAAGTATTTTTAATTTTTTTAAAAAATTAAAAGGTACTTTGTTAGACAAAAGTACAAAATTTAAAAAGTATTTTAATTAATTTACCTAATTTAAAATTGACTTCTATTTATTTCGTTTCAAAATTGATTAATATAAACCTTATGAAAATATTTTAAATGGTCCAAACATTTTTACTTTTTACCATGGGGTGAAATTTGAGTCACTTTCAGCTAATTCAATAAAAACTGTCACATCGAGCATTTAAAATAGTTTGACCAATCACAATGACTAAATTACCCACTGTAACTTAAAAATTCAGGGAAAAAAATTCCTATTTTGCCCTTTTGATGTTTTTTTTAAATAAATAAATAAATTGTTTTTGATATTTTAAATCCAAAGACATCTCTGTCCTTGCACGTGCCATATTTATATTGTATTTATCGAAAGTACATCTCTGCCCTTTCACGTGCTATATTTATTGTGTTGTTTTTTACTCATACCATACCATGACAAAATGTTTTTCCTTTTACTTTTACTTTTCCATAAAATAAAATAATGAATAGATAAAAGAGAAGGTGGAAGTAAAAAATAAAAATAAATAAATCAAAATGCTCGACGTTAGAGATTTGTGATGAATTGGGTCGGGTTTGAATTTGAAACTGGGATGATCTGTCGACAAGGACACTGTGGAAAAGTATGTTAAACTTTTATTATGTTCGATTTTTAAGATATGAGGAAACAAATTTAGAATTTAATGAAACTGAAAGGACTGTATGTCCCTTTTTATGATATGTTCATGCACGTGATGGTTATGGTGCTATATGGTGACGATTAGAGATTTGCCAATTAACCCCTAATCGTAAACTCGGCTTGATTGTTGAGGGTCCGAGTAAAATTTTAAAATTGGCTAAGCCCTTAAGGCACCAGACCCACGTGCAAGATGAGAGAAAGAGAAAGAGTCGAGAAGGAACCCGTCACTCGTGTACTGCATTTATGAGCTCAAAAATATTGTAACACTATCGGATTTGTCTTAATAACTTATTAATAATAATATTTTTAAATAAATAAAATAAAATACCCTTTAAAAATACATTCTTTATGGTCGTATATGAATAGAGCCCTTAATACCACATTTTATAAATACGTGTAAAAATTAAAAAATAATAATAATATGTTTAAATTTTTAGAAAAAAATTTAAAAGTTTTTACCATTAATGCCCTTGAAATTAAACGGAGATGGTCTATGAAACTTAAAAAAAATATTTTTTGTTATATATTCACCGTACATTTTTATAAAAAGTAAAAGTATTAATGTTACGTTTAAAAGTTTATCAGTAATATTTAAACGTAAGAATGTTTTTTTTAATCTGGACTTTCTAACGTCGCCGTCAGCCGCCACGTTCCCGTTTAAGAATTTTAACTCGATTCCCTTTCGAAGCTTGCGCTATTGTGTTATCATACGGGCTTCCCCCGTCTCCGGGTATAGGTCACGCGCTTCAGCGCCATCTATTTTCGAGGCTAGTTGATTTGGCAAGTGAGTTGTTATACACTCCTTAGCGGATTTCAACTTCCATGACCACCGTCCTGCTGTCTTAATCAATCAACATCTTTTGTGGGATCTAGGTTAACGCGTAGTTAGGCACCGTATATTTTTTATAGACAAAATATGAAGGTTAAAAGTATTTTAATTACTTTACCTCATTTAAAATGGACATTTTTAATATGAAAATATTTTAAATTGTCCAAACAATTTTTTGAACTTAAAAAAGAAAGTGACTCATTCACTTTCAGATAATTCAGTAAAGACTGTCACATCATAGTATAACTTAAAATTTGAGAAATTAAATACCTATTTTGCCCTTTTGAGCTTTTTTTTATTTTAAAATTATTATTTTGTTTTTGATATTTCAAATGCAACGAAGTATTTATGTGAATTTTTTTTAAGATATGATGAAATACGCTGGAAATTGAATGAAATTAAAAGCATGATTAGATAATCATGTTCAAAATTACTATACACTATAGGCCTATGTTCATGCATGTGAGGATTTCGATTTGATTATTGAGAGTCCGAATAACATTTTAGAACGGACTATAATAGTTTTACGTGTGGAAACTATTAGGAGTTTATTATTAACTTTCTATTGGTATCCCGATGAGTTCGTAAAACTAGGGTTGAGCCTTGAAAATGCATAAACGGTATGAGAATTTTACATGCGCCTTGTAGGTGCGATTAGGGCGTCTCCAACTATTCCTTAGTTATAATGTCACATAGATAGATGAGCGTCGGCTAGATTGGGGATCGTAACCTCCTTTGTGATGTTTATGTTATGGGCCCAACTAGGAAGATGTCAACTAAACTCTAATAGAGAACTTAAAACAATTTCCGTAATGAAATAATGAGAACTATGAGTTGAAACTGACGTTAAAGTCGAACATCGAGAACATATGATAAGGATGATGATGATAATGAAAAAGACTAGTAGAACGTCTCACCAAGATATCTTAGAACTTTAAGAATGAACCATATGGGAAAGATAAGCTCAAAAGGGTTGAACCTTTGAGAACCAACGACCCAAAGTTGAGCTTAAGTGGACTGCAACGACCCAAAGTTGAGCTTAAGTGGACCGCATAGACTAAGGGATAGCTTAGAAAAACCTATAACTTCGAAATAAATTCCTAGTACAAATAAGATACTAAACGAACGAAAAACAAATCAGTAAGAGTAAGACTTTAGAACGAACTAAGAACAACAAGTAAGCCCACAACACTAGTACCGCATTTATGAGCTCTAACTGTCTCTTGTTCACAATAAATTTCCAACCAAATATATATCTATATATATATATAAACTAGAAGAAACTAATAAATCTAAATTACTAAAATAGTTTTTAATTTTATTGGGAGTATTTTCTAAATTTTTAATTTTGGATTATTTTTATTAATTAGTCTTATTTATTAAAATTAAAGATACAAAATAGATATATACCCCAAAATTGAGAGTGATTCAGGAAGGAAAGAAGCAAGAAACTGAGGGGACTGGACGGGGAGTAATTCAAGTAGGATTGGAACTGAGTTGCTGGTAATGGCTCCATTGTTCATCCTTCTAAACAAATTCGACGAAACAAACATTATTAAATTCTGCATCACCATTATCTAACCATGATTTTCGTAGCAATGCAGTACAGTAGTGTGAATGATTACAACACAGGATTTCCACATCAATCATAAACAAAAGGAATCAAATCAAACGCACAAAACCTGTTAATCTTGCCTTTATTCACGATCAATCTGTGATTCTGATTCTTTCAACTGCTCTGCTTCTTGCACTGCGCTGCTATGAAATCCGCGACGTCTTTGATGAACTCAGACCATTCTGGTAACTCTGGAAAACCGTAAAAGCTGTGAAACGCATTTGGATATTCAGTCAAGTAAGCTTCCTTACCTGATTTCTTCAATCCTTCGTAGTATCTCTTTTGCCAATCGATTAACGGATCTAATCCTCCAACCACCACTTTAATCGCTGGAAACCTCACGTTCGATATATCCACTGATTTTGGACCGAAAATGTTCACCGACGGGTGGTCTCTGTCAAATCCTTCCGGTAAAAAAGCCTTCCAGTACCAGTCCGTGCGGTCAATCGTCGACAATGGAGCTTTTATCAGTCTGATATCCGATTCCGTTCGCTCTTCTCCGCCGAAGAACGGTTGGATCGCGATGAGGCCGATGATCTCCAACTTGCGAAATTCGTGATCTCCAGATTTCAAAATCATGTGATGAGCGATGTTTCCACCAGCGCTGTCGCCTGCAACGAAGCACCGTTTCAGATCGACGTTCGCCGGTAATCCTTCAAACGAAGAACCTTCACCGTCGATGAATTTCAGAACATCGAAGCTATCTTCGTACTGGCAAGGGCATTTATTCTCTGGAGCGAGGCGGTAGTTCACAGAGATGACTACGGCGTGGATTTCTCGAGCAAGCGACTGGCAGAAATCGTCGAGGAGTTTGGAATCAGGAGCCATATACACGAATCCGCCGCCGTGGAAATAGAAGATTAACGGCAGCGATTCGGACGTCGATTCAGAGCTCGGAAAGTAGAGACGGAACCAGAGGTTTCGAGAAGCATCGACAGTGACATCGAAGCTTTTGACGCCATTCTTCGGTTTCTTCAGTGGAGGAGACTTGAAATCCATGAGGTTAGCGAGAAATCGATTAACCGAGACATCTGGACGACCGCAGATGTCGGTGCCGACGGCAATGGCAGTCAACATCATCTTCACCTTCCATGGGAGGCGGAGGGCTGAAAGAGCGTCGGACATTTCCGCGCCAGCGAGTTCGCTTGAGTTAGTGGAGAAGATGAGGATTAGAATAAAAAAAAGGCGATGATTTATTTATTATCTGTATATTAAATAAGTTAGGTTCCGTCCAATAATGCCCCTTTCTATTTTCTTAATTTGTTTATTATATTAAAAAAAAAAAAATTTATTTTTATTTTTTATTTTTTTTTTGGCTAAATACAACTTTAAACTCTAAATTAATATAACCCTAAATTTTTTATATATATTTTTTGTTCGGGTTGGGTCAAACCGACCTTAAGCACACTGAACTCGAACCCAACCTGACCCACTAAGCACACTAACCCCTAATCATGAACTCGACTTGATTGTCGAGGGTCCAAATAGCATTTTAGAATCGGCTAGTATTAGAATTTTATGAGCCTCTTGTGGGTGCGGTTTAGTGTGTCTCCAACCATTCTTAATCATAATCTTATTCACGTTGGAGCAAGGGACCCGTAGGTAGATGAGTGTTGGCTAGATTGAGGGTCTCAATCACATTTGCGATATTTATATTATGGGGCCTATTAGAGAGACGTCAACCAAACCCTACTGGAGAATCTAAGAACAATGTCAAAAAAATGGAGTGATGAGGAAACCGACGTTAGGGCCATACATTAAGAACCTATAAAATATAGGTTGTTGTTGCTACTGATGATGAAATGGACTAGTAGAACGTCTAACCAAGAAAACTTAGAACTTTGAGAACGAACCTTATGAAAAAGATAAGCTCAAAAGAACTGAAGTTTGAGAACCGACGACCTAAATAAGGCCACAGAAAGATTGTCTGGTAGCTTCCTCCGTTTACCCTAAGTTCTGAAAATGAAATCACACACAACATGATTCATGACATTTAGTCATAGTATGATCTAAAACAATAGCCGTTAGGCTCGAGCTCTTTCTTACATTTAGGATGTGTACCACTTCCATACACATAGTTCTATATGCACCACTTTCGTACACTCCGAACCCACCAAGCTCATACAACCTTCTTAATCACTAAGCCCGTCGAGTAAGTGCCACTCTGGTTCGTGTGTGGTATCAGTTTCATACACATCGACCCTACACTAAATACGTCAATCGTTTTAATTTATAACCGTTAAAAGAAATTATTAGTGTACTTCCAAATTAAGATAGGCTCAAGTTCGCTAAATATCGTTATTAGTTGAAACAAAATAAAAAAAAAATAATAATTATTAAATTAATTTGAGAAAATGTTTTTAAGTTACAAAAATATAAATAAAAAATCAACCTTTCAAGTTATAGAAATTGGGCTGTCAGCCCATAAAACTAATTGGGCCATTGGAAATGAGTACTTTCCGGCCCATAAAAACTAGGCTTTAAGGTTGACTAGAACTACCCGACCAAAACTATAAAGTTTATGTTGGATCAGATTTTTTTCCATTTGGGTCGGTTCATGGTTGACTTTTTTTTGTCGGCTCAACCCGACCAACCCAAAAATATGTTGCAAACCCAACTCAATACTTTTAAGATTATGATAAAAATTAAAAATATTTGACATTTGTAACCAATGTTAATGATGCTTTGTGACTCGTGAATGTTTGATATATTTAAGATATTTTAGTTATTAATGTTAGATGAATATATATTTTAAATAATTTAAAAAAAATACCCGACAAGCCGACCCAGTTATTGGGTTGTGAATGCTATTCAAATTGCTCAAATTACTAACTCAACCAACTTGAACTTTCGAGTCGATTTAAATTTTTTTTTAATCCAATCCACCTCAGACTGTGTATTATAAATATTTTATTTTATATATTTATCTTGTTACTATGTATTTGGAACAAAAATACATTATATAACCAAATTAAATGTAATGGTGATGACAATATATTACAAGTGGGATACTTGCTTTTAATTTCGGTTAGTTATTATGGTTTTATTTAATAATTTATTTATGAGAAAATTATTTTATTAAATAAAGTAATTGACAATATAAATATTATTATATTTTATTAAATAAAGCAATTTTAAAAAACGAAAATGACGTGGAATATTGGTATTTATTTAAAAAATAATAATGTAATTATTAATGTGACATATGAATTTTGGTTGAATAATGTGATTGGTGACTATTGGAAGGAGAGTTGGAAGTTTGTTATCTTATAAATGCCATTTTGTGAATCATTTTCTAGAAACAGAGGAATGGCCTTCAAGTTGGGAGCTTTTGGAGGCATCCACGCCCACGAAAGTGACCTCTCGATTTATCACCTTAAATACTTTTACGAGTGAATGCATCTAATCATCGATATTTTAAAATGTAACGAGATTTTTTATTGGTTTGTGGAAAATTTATCGTTCGTGGAGGTGAAAAGTTAAGCTGGGGTGTGATGTTCGGGAAAAGAAGAGGTATTGCTAGGTCAGAAATTCGAGAATTTCGAATTCTCCTCAAGTAGGCATTGAAGGTGATAGTCAAGGTATCTCCACGTTTCCAACCGATAGGGAGTGGGTCATTGCCCTTTGCATGGTCTCGACTCTCCCTGATGCTGAATCAGCTCCTATGCTGCTAGCTATGCCCTTACGTTTTTTTTTTTTTTTTTTTTTTTTT